CTTGCATGTTAAAATCAGTCGGCAATCAATCGAACCTCATTTCTATAGAACTTTTCCCATTAAAAAAATGCTTTACATGATGTTAAAAACAACCCCTCGAAACACAAACATTCTCTGCAGCACTGAGGTTTGGTTCCAAGTCGATCGCGAGGGGTGTACTGTTATGGCTGTTGCTCATCATGGCACGCGTGTGCGCATGTGTGTGTATGCGCGCGCATCGTGGTAACGGGTCGATCGCGGAAAGTTGTTTGCTTGAAAAGTAAATCTTCAGTCAAAAAGGGTACCCCTGCTCTAGACCATTAAGACATTTAAAAAACAAGAATTAAAAACCCTGGAATCAACCCTAAAACACAGAAGGAGCAAATGCAGATATTTTAAAATTGGTGTGAAATGCTCAGGACACATGCTGCTGAATTCTGTATTAATGGCAGACATGAAGTTCTCTTTTTACCCGGACCAGGGAGCAAGGTATTATAGTAATCAATTCAGTTAGTGATAAAAGCATGCATTAGCGTCTCCATGTTGGAGAGAGAAAGGGACAAACTCTGGCAATATTCTTCAAGTGATGAAAAAGTACTTTTGTTCAATTTTTGAAATGTGGAGTAAAAGTGAGTTCATAGTCCAAAATAACACCCAGGTATTAAAACAACCACTACTTGTATCATTAGGCACTGTGGTACCATCAAACTAAATATAAACAAAGCGATCCACACATTGTGCAATTAAAACAACCATGTCTTTGCCTTCACCTCCATTAGCTTCATGCTAACTATAATAGGAAATACCACAGTCACACTAACAACGCATCTCTGTGGTGGCGGTGTGATAAAGTGGACACAAAATGGTGCAGCAACAAATGGAGAGACAAGGTCATAATACCCACAACCATATCCGCTTTATCCTTTGTGAAAATATTAATGCAATTTATTTAGTCACAGTAGTTGAAACATGGGTTGTTGTCTGCACTTATTATACTGCTACCCGGTAGTCAAGACAAGCATAACATAAGGAGGCGCACTTAATTCATCATAGTGCCGCAGACTAATTGTTGACAACCTATTTGATGTTATTTTTCTCATTAAAAAAATAATAAAAAAAAATACTGAAGCATTTTATTTGATATTTTTTATTCGCTATATTCTAAAATATATTTATCAATGATTTTCTCAGCCCCCCCAAGGTTATTCTCGGGCTAGATAAATCCTGGAGCCATCCCTAAATTAACACTGAGGCTCCACAATCAAACCCGGCTGAGTGGGAGTGATTTTTGATTGCAACAAAACGCAAAGTGGGATACGAGTTCAATTTGTTCCATGACCACGCTCGTAACGTAAACACTCGTATCTCAAATCCTTTCCCACTAAAGTGAAGGGAAATGCCAATAATGTGTTCCAGACAGATGGATTATTCTGAATCCCACTGCAGTTGTAGGCAGTCCTTGCCAGAGCAGCAGAGCACTTCCAGCCTGTAAAGCAAGGAGGTATTCATCGTATCCCAAATAATCTGAGATTATCAATCCGGCGCTAATGTTAGTGAATCAACATAGACGACAAAGAGGAGATGACTGAGTACTGCTTCTCTATATTGTTTGCGTACACGTTGCGGAACTTCCGGTATGGGGTTTCAATCCATTACTTAAAGCACTACAACACAGATGCTGATTAGTGCAAATATTCAGCTCCTGGGGCATTTCTTTAGTTCTCCTCATTTTACGTGTAGTTTTAGAGGAAACCTCAACTGGAAGTGGCAATAAACAGCCTGAAGGCACTTTTTTGATGACTATTTGCCAAACTGTTGCTTCATCTTAAGACAAGTTAAATTCTTTTTAACTTTTGAAACCCATTTGAAATTGAAATTAAGGTCAACTTGACAATGTTCTCAATGTCACATGTCGTCACAGTACAAAATGACGTACATTTGCTCTGAAGAGGCCAACAAAAACCACATCCTGTTTTGTTGGTTCCGCTATCCTGATCGCACGAGGATACGAGTCAATCCGTATGGTGTTTTTTTTTTTTAAATGTTATTTTATTTTACAATCAAAGTCATACATTGAAACTGAAACATTTATTTTGTGAATGCAAACACTTTGTTTTTCTTCTTTCTACCCACAATTTTGCTGCTGTAGACTGTAAATTTCCCCAGTGTGGGACAAATAAAGGATATCTTATCTTATCCTCATGTTGTAACATTGAATACTTTTGAAAGAGCAATTAAGACATTTTAATGCCAATTCGGGCCTTGTTTTAGTGCCAAAGTGTCAAAATTCCACCAACATCAACATTATGCGTTTATCTCTAACAATTTTCATGCTACAGTCTTTTGAAATGGTGATATAAAAACTGAATATTTTATTGGGAAAAACTGTGTCCCTAAAGGGTTAAGACTATAAAGATCCGCAGGGACCCTGTGCTTCTTGTGAAGTGTGCTGCGATAAGTTCACACAGCACTTCTATCTCAAGGTTGTGCTCACAAGATAAATTACAGAATAATAAAAAAATAAAAAGTTGAATAATGGCTGACGTTTGACACCGAGTCATTCCCCTATTCACAGATTTCCTAAAAATGGTTTTCCAAACAGTGTGTGTGTGTGTGTGTGTGTGTGTGTGTGTGTGTGTGTGTATCAGGGGGGTTTTCCCTCCAGTCAACTATTTTCAGAGAAGAGATACTTATTTGGCGGTCTATCCCTGCTTATTCAATATATATTTTTTTACGGTTTGAAAATGTATGGATCAATGCATTTATAATGGCATCAATCAAACCGTAACCCCCGAGATTAGTCGGGGTCCACTGCATATAGAATACCAGTGTGCGAAAGAAACAGTTGAATTGCAGCTATGTAAATAAATATCCAGTGAGTACTGGGATCCTTCCTGCCAGTTAATTGCAGGCTGCTATACGCCTCAACCATTGCAGTTCACACTAAATTAACTAGCACTGAGCCAATTAGGGGCTGTGTTGTACACCGAGAGGTGAATGGTCAATCATTTTGTCTATTTGCATCCATTATCACTTACATCCAGTGTCACATCGCTTGTAAATGAGCCGCTAGCCCACAGCTTGTTTGGGGTCCAATTTAGACATGATTACAGAGCATTCAATACGAAACCCAACCCACCTCATAATTACTCATTAGCCCGCGTAATATCCAGGTGTAATAATCAGAGTGGGGCAAATGAGAGCAGAAAAGATCACGTCAATAGTCCAGCCACACGGGGGGTGGAAAATTCAAGTCGTCTGGTGGACGTCGCAAGGAGGCTGTGGGTAAGCTCATTTAACAACAGCTGAAATTAAGCATGTATTAGTCGTTAGTGTCGTTGAGCCGTCTGAAGGAGAAGTGCAGAGAGTAATCAAGCGGACATCAGAACACTTTGCAGGAGTGTCTTTGGTGTCAAAGATGCAAATGTGTAAAATCTCTCCAATACATAAGGAAAAGAACACCCCCAAAGAGTGACAGTAGACCTTCTTGAGGCTTTACAAATTGTGGGACATTTTATTAATATACCTTCATAAAACAAGTTTAAGACTGTATCAAAACTCAGTAAAAACATTAGATTTTTTTGTTGTTTTTACATTTTTCTAATGGTGCTATCAGGTATGAAATGTACATAATTCACATAGTGTATTCGTTGCAATCCTCTTCAGATGATACTAATTCTTTGTGATGGGCAGGTCAACGTTTCTGCACACTATAAAGTTCATTATCATGAGAGTGATCATAAATCTAAGCATACGATTAAAAAATAAAATCATTTCCCACCGTGGCCCTTCTGATCCCAACTAGGTTGACTGCTAAAACACAAACGTGATGGAGTTCTTTAATTTCACAGGCACACAATTATTTACATGGCCATGTTTCGACACCAAGAGGCAAAGTCGAGCACTGCGGTGCCTCTTCACTGGGCTCACAAGTCCCGTTGTCACGTTTGACACCGTAAGCCGGACTAGGAATCATCCTCACCTTCGTTGAGGGTTCATGTCTGAGAAGCAAGACTCACGTTTGACATTTCACCTTTACGACTTCCAAAACAGATTTGGCAAAAAAAAAAAAAAAAAGAAAAAAAAAGAATTGAACTGATGAATGCTCAAACCCTCCCCCCCCAAAGAAAAAAAAATAATGTGTTGAAAAAGACTTTAAAAGTAGGTATTAGGTTGCAATGGAAATTCTTCTAAGCCAATCAGAAGTCGTCGATGGAGTGTAATGTGCTAAAATGTCCCCCTGCAGTGAAGCAGCATTCCGCTAGCCACCTTCATTGATGACCTAGCAGCCTCCCTGGCCAGTCATCACCATAGCAACACAAAACATGTCAGATGGCAAGTGGCATGAAAATAACAACCAAGATGATGTCTTGTAACTAAATTCAAAAAAGTAATTAGAACTATAATTTGATTCTTATTTGACTAAACTGCTCGATTGTGTGTCGAGAAGCAAGGCGTGAATGAAATGATTGATTTATTTTGTTTGTTTGTTTAGAATTTGTGTGTGTTTGTATGCTTTGAGTTTGGCTTGCGGTGTTCCAATTCCCCTCAAAAATCATCGCAAACCAAACTGGGGACAGATACGAGTGATACAGCTCTCAAACAGCACGTCACGGGAGAGCCACGGGTCAGCGTCAAGGCCCAATGGGCTTCAGTCTTTCCTGATCTAATATTTTCTATACAATAGAAATAGTACATCGTTGAGATAAAATTGACTCTTCTTCTCAGCAAAACAGACAAAGCGTTTGGAAATCGTCAAAAGCAGAGCTGAAGAACAAAGCGAGAGAGTGAGACAGTAATGGAATTAAAAAGTGCTCTCCATCTTTTTTTTTTTTTTTTTTT